GCCGGTTCTCGGCCGATCGGCCTGCCAGCCTTTCGCCGAGGCTCGGCCGGTCGGTCCCAGGTGGTCGCCAGGTGGCGACCCGGCTAGAGGACGCTCGCCGCCCCTCGTCGGGGCGGCGATGCGGGCCAAGGTGGAGCGTCGGCCACGGAGGCCGGGGCTCGGGGAGGCCGGCGTCCACGCCGGCCGGCGTGTGGCGGTGGCCGGGCATGCACTCCACGTCGGAGCGGTGACCGGTGTTCAGGCGAGTCCCTGGGCGCGGCGTGGCGGCTGCGAACCGGGTAGGGTCTCTCACGTCCGGGTCGGGTCGCGGGTCTGACCGGGTAGGGTTTTATTTAGTGTGTGGGCTTTAGTGTTTTATTAGGTCTTGGGCCTTTCGCGGGTGGGCCAAAATCCGAATTTGGGCTGAAGTGTTGTTAGTTTCTTTATTTATAGTGGGCTGGGCTTTTGTTTTTCTAAAAAATTTTCGGCTGGGCCCCTTTTTCTTTCTTTATTTTGTTTTATTTGCCAGACCGGGCTCAATAAATGAACCCGGGCCGGCGCGCCCGGGTCGGTCCCGATCCGGGTCGGATGTGGAGATCCGACTCAGATATGATTTTATGTTATTTTTATTATTTTAATATTAAAAATTATTAAAAAATTATTTAAAAAATTTTTAAAAATTTTTAAAAATTTTTTTTAAAAAAAAATTTCGAAAAATAAAAAAATTTATTTAGACTTTGGAATTGTTTTTTTGCCCTCTGGTGTGATTAGTGTCATGTTTGATTGCACGTTGCTTGGTTCACACACTTCGAATTGCGTGTTTAATTTAACCTCGCACGTAGTTGATTATGCATGTTAGGTCTAGGCGTTGACTGTTGCTTTCTTTGGCTTAGTTAGGAATGGAATTTTGAGACTCCCGATTAGTGTGAACACGTTAGGTGGTGAATTGAACAAATATTAGGTATCGAAAGGGCACTAATTAGTCAATTAGTGTAATCAAGTCCCCGTACCCATTGAATCTCTGGTTCGTAGAAGTGAAGCATTTCTCCCGTGCTTTACTTAGGTGTCTAATCAACCTACCAAAAACTGATTAGTGGCGACTCCTAGATGAAATTGATTTGCATATTAACAACTTAAACTTAAGTCGCGAATTGGTATAGGCTTGGGAAAGCTCGAACTAGGTTTAACTTAGTAATCCATTAGTCAAACCCCTTAGGCGGCGGGGCCGGTTCGGGGAGGTCGCGACAAGGGATAAATAAAAAAATAGTAGGTAAATAAAAATGAAGGCAAGAAAATCAAAGTTTTATACTTTTCGAAATCGTGAAGGTGAATGATCGTATTTTCTATCTCCGACTAGATTCGGCATTCGCTAGGAGATCTACCTCGTCAACGTTGCCGTAAACCGTTTACATTTATTGTCATAGTCGAACCGGTAGCTCTGGAATGCTACAATGAGCTCTTTTGCTATTTAAGATTTAGATTGTACAATAGTCATTGATTTATCGATGGAGGTTATCTCTGCTTGGACATTTGTGGTTTCTTTAGCAGTGGATGAGATTCTTATCATCTCTATTTGGGCATTTTTCAAGCTCATTTACATTAATATGCCATTCATATCAAACAGTGAACATGATAGAACATGAAAATATCCGATCTTATTACTGCCATTCACCAAACAATAGATAGTATATGATACAATCCTTAGTTTTCATATCATATTCTATCCAGTCCTATCCTGATTAGAAATTCAAGCGTCCAAACGCATTACTCATTGCACATGGATATCAATTATGTGATGCCGTGTTGAATATAAGCAAGTTCAGTAAACTTCAACCAATCATATCTTGACCAAACACTCAAGATTCCATCATAACACAGTACTATCTTGCATGATTTCATAATTGCGTGTAAGTACTAGCGACGTTCTAGAGAACAAGTTCCCCATGCCTGAAAGAACAAGCATATGGGCAAATACATCTGTTGTGCCCATCTATGTAAAGAATCAATATTCGACCTCGCGACGACGCATGAAAAAGTGGGAAACAAAAGTCAAGTATCTTTTTTGCGTCCACGTGATTTTTCAGGAGAGAGAATACATTACTATGTGATCTTGACCTTTCATGAACATTATCTATCTGACACGTGTGGAAGAAATGTAAATCTTTCTTTCTTTTGCTTTTCTGGTTTTTTGTTTTTGGCTTTGCTAAGAAGTACTAGAAGATCACTTTCCCTCGGCGGATGAGAAAAAGCATTTTACATGACCATCCCATTAACTAGGGATAAGATCCTTCTGAGAGAGAGAGAGAGAGCGAGCATCTCGGCTATCGAATTCAATATGATGATGTTCGTCCTAAATGTCAATTTACATCGTAATCAATCTAGATGACCCAAATCCTATATGAAAACCCCCACAACATATTCTTTTTAAAATTGGAAAACCCAAAAGCTATTTTCACTTTTTCATTAAAAAAAAGAAGAAAACAAGTCGCCTTATTTTCAAAAAAGAAAACGCAAAAGCATTCTGAGTACATTGGAAATGTATGAATATTGACATTTATATATGCATAAAGATGTGAAAAGTTAAATATCAAATTAAAATCAAAACTTATTCACATAATTCTATATTATAGGAAAATTGCAAAAACTATGTTTGATTTTACTTCGTATTAGATACCATAGTCGCATTTCAAAACCTACAATCCATCCTCATTTTTTACAATGGAATTGAAGTTGCATCTCTCATCCACACATAATTTACCGAATTATCATTTTATTTCCCAACCCGAGAGGTTTGCTCAATCCAACACACTACTACCATGTCTCCCCCTCTCCACTATGCGTGCGTGTGTTACACCTTCGGAGGCCGTCAACGGTGGTCGACCGTAGCCGTGCCAACTCAAGGCCAAAATGAGGTCGAACAACCTTGATTTAGCAACCATGGCCTGACTCTGCTTCATAGCTTCTGGGGCTCACGAGCTTGTCACAGAAACTCATGGCCTCAGCCCTTGCGAACTCGAGGCTGACCTCCCATAGCTTCTACAACCGTGAATAGCAAGGTTAGGCCGAGCTCATGTGCCTCGCTATTGCAATCCTGGAATGATCTCACCGAATACTATTTCAGGGATGTCGAGAGAGGGACGTGTGAGAAGGGCATTTGATATAAAGAGCTGCAATTATCCCTAAATAAAAGTCATCTCAAACATCTTCAATTTTCTTGGCTAGAGCTCTCGCGACTCATATATGTCGATGATCATATACGCGCCATGCCGTATTGAGGAGTCAAAATCCATGCATAAAGAAAGCAAAGCAAAATAAATCACATTCAATTATAGAAGTACAAGAAGATAAAATTGGGGACCTCGTGACATCTATCTCCTCTTTCAATTTGGATTACTTTTTTTAGTGACGCTAGGAGCCAAAACTGCAAAAAGTTCTCTGTCTTCACTCGATAGGCGAAAAAAAAGACGAAAAATTAATATATAAAAACTCTAATATTAATCTGTTGAAAATAAAAATAGATTGACTCAATATAAATATCTGAATAAACCAGTATAGTAATTTCTAAGGAAAAAATACTGTTTTTTCCCATGAATGGTGTGGCAAAACCGAGCTCCTCGCCATTAGATTGCCATTAATTCTTTTCTTTTTCGTGAAATAGATATTAGTATCTAATTTTTTTTAAAATCCCAGGAAAGAAAAATCATTTCACTAACGTTTCTTTTCGCGAATTCTTTTTCAGGAATAGAATAAAAGAATCTTGTGCATTTCGGTCCCAATTGGATGAATCCCATTTTCCCCTTCTCCGACTGAGCAGATGCCTCCTAGATAGATACATCACAGGGAAAAGCCCCATTAACATGGATAATAATTGTACTAGAGAAAAGATTTGTTACGTACCCCTTTTTGTTCTCGAGATCTCTCTTTATATATGCCACTTGCAATCGCATATTGGTACTCTTTTAACTCCTCATCTAGATGTTCAAACAATAGTAATAAAAAAATCTTTTGAATTTTATTATGGCGATAAACAAGTTAATTAGCAGTGCGTTCAATCTTACCATTCCATTTTTGTCATATTAAGCTTACATACGACTCTAATGGTTCGTGAATGGAACATCCAAATATAAAGACAAGTTGCCAATTCATTATTCCTCAAAAGGTTAATTAAGATTTGGAAAAATTACACTAAGCTTAAAAAAATTGAACACAAGAGGAAGAAAGAAAAATTATTATTCATTTGAGTCGAGAAAATTCAAGGGTTTCCATGAAAACTAGATCAGTAATTTGAATGTCATGAAAATTAAACATTGCCAAATATATTGCTTAAACTCTTGCTTATGGGTGTTAGTGATTATGTGTAATCCCTCCAAGTTTCGTGATATCTCTAACTGATTAAATTTACAGACATGTGTATTACGGTTGTATATGAAACACTATTAGTATATATCTTAATCACGGTCTACATATAACCTTATACTCCTCATCTCTTTAACCTTCGTTGTCATATATAGTGTGTATTAAACACACACTTATTTCTATATTTCAACAAAGATTATCAACCTGCGTTGATACATATAACCATACATGTAATCAATCGGACATATCGCACCATTCCAAAAGAGATTATACATAAGTTCCAGCACCGGGATTGGATAGACGCACAAAATAAAAGCCCGAAAATCATTGTCACCCCTAAAAAATCAGTGAAATGATAAACAAACAAATGAAGAGATAGCGAAGAGAGACACTGTGAAGCAAGCAATATGACGAAAACAAAAGACGGGTTCCATCTGAAGCCGTACAAAGGACACCCCCCCATAGCTTTTCCGTAAGAAAAGAATCGTCATCGTGCAGCACTTTGCTTTATTTCTCTATTCGCAACATGGAAATCGTTGTAAAAAACGATCATGCGATTTATAGCAACATCTAGAAAGAAAAAAAACATTCGCATTCTCGCTCATCCATCAACCCCTTTTTTCCTCGCCACGCTAATGCAAAAATCCTTCAACACCCCCCTCGGACACAGTATAAATAAGCCCACGATGCTCCTCGGAAACTCATCAAAACTCAATCATCATCTCTCACGAGCTCAAGAACTCACTCTCTCTCTCTTTCTCTGTCCCTCCCGTTTTCCTATACATTCGCAGCGTCGCATTCATCCTCGTGAAGTCGAGTTCTCTTCGCATTTCACCTTCCATTGTCGAGATAGTAAGGACTATCGATTCCGAGTAGGTCGGCGTGTTTGAGCATCGCCAGCTTGTGCTTCTCTGCCAATGGATAGGGTCAATAGAATGGTGTCGGAGAGGCCGGTGGTGATCTTCAGCAAGAGCACGTGCTGCATGTGCCACACCGTCAAGATGCTCTTCCGCGAGTTCGGGGTCAACCCGATGGTCCACGAGCTGGACGAGATGCCTAGGGGGAGGGAGATAGAGCAGGCCCTCTCGAGGCTGGGCCGCAGCCCGACCGTGCCCGTCGTGTTCATCAGCGGCGAACTGGTGGGGGGGACCAATGAGGTCATGAGCCTCCACCTCAATCGGTCCCTGATCCCGAGGCTCATACAAGCTGGGGCTATGTGGGTCTGATCGACTTAAACAAACCGCGAGGAGGATACTAATAAGTGTGATTTCGAGCCACACTAGTTTTGAGGATAATATAACTTATCAAATGCACTACTAGTTGGGTTACGGACTCTTTATCGTCGCTATGTACTGACTTTCATATGATATAATCCTATATCCATCACTTGTGAGATTCTGTTTTGCTGTAACGAGTGCTGTCTAGCTAATAAAATCAAGTTTGAACTTACATTTTGGATAGTTATTGTTGTACTCTCCCTTGTGAAATGATCTCATGTGTCTTCGTGGCCAAAAGAAAGTATTCACAAAGAGAAATTCGATGGCCAAAAGAAACAACCAATTGCTAAAGATAGAAACCGATTTTTGTCGTGGCCATTTCCTGTTGACTATGCCCCGGTTGGTTAAAACCAGGAAGAAAAGAAATGGCAAACCTAAACTTTTAAGTGAAGACGTGGAGTGATATGTGTACATTTGGTGTGTCTAATTGAAAAAATCCGCGTAGATGTTAAACAAGAGTTGTCTCGATTCATAAACAAGTGTATGAACAATTGATGTCGTAAAGCCGAGTACGACACTGTCTAAAAGCTCCTCATTTCTCCGTCTGTAACACTACTCAGTTCCAGCTAGCTTCATTACACTGGTGAGTAGTTCCAATGGCATCGAACGCTGACCCCTTGTTCTTGGGAATAGAGAGAGGAGGTCGTCCGTCGCGGCAGTGATGACGATGGAGATGAGAGAGAAGGGGGAAGATGTATCGGGCTATGATTATGGTTTAGGGTTTCTTTGGTTTGTTTATTTTGTTTAACGTCGAGTATACATAAGGGCAATGACGATGCTCATCACGGGTCTAAATAGCGCTTCTGCTCGGCTGCAGCATCACTTCACCCTTTCTCTATATCTTAGTTTCTCCTTGTTTAACGTCGAGTATACATAAGGGCAATGACGATGCTCATCACGGGTCTAAACAGCGCTTCTGCTCGGCTGCAGCATCACCTCACCCTTTCTCTATATCTTAGTTTCTACGAGGCAATAATTCCGAGCAACTGTCTTCAATATTTTTGCGGTACATAAATCGGATTAAGACTAAAGATCGAATTGTCGAACTGAAGTACAAGAAAGAAAAGGTATTGTCATCTCGTGCCGTTTATCTTTTGCCGATTTTCAGACAACATTGTTACCGAGTGCTCTAGCATAACCATTAGCGCCGTTGGTTCCGGCTCAAAAACCATTTCGATCTGTACCATAATCGTTCACACAAGCAGTTCATTGGTCGACTCAAGCGGGCTATACTCCCGATGCCAAGGGAACGCGAGCATAAGTTCCTTCACTGTGGAGTCTGTTCGCAAGCAAGCAAAAGATTCGGATTGTTTGTCAATAAACGTTTGTTCACTCGACCGTATAGATCGACAACAATCGTACGAGCAGTGTACAAAATTAGGACAACTCAAGTAGAAAAAAGGTTTGAATAAAGTTAAAAACCCTCTAAAAGAAGCTTTCTAAACCGTTCGTTCCTAAATTCAAAGTGGCGCCACTTAAAAAAAAAAAAGGGGAAAAACGAGAGCAAAGCCTTGTTTAGAATGAGAAAAATCCATGTTTTAAAGAAAAAGAGAAATGATTAAGTGACTGTAACGGTCTGTTTTGGATAATAAAAAATAAATAATAAATAATTATAAATTATTGTGGGATTCACTCTTTCAAAAATAAATAAATAATAAATAATTATAACAGTGCACTTATCCTAAACCAGACAAATGGGTCGGTTGGGTCGAAAATGATCCAACCCAAATAGACCCATTTTCATACAATATCAATCTAGTGACCTATATCCGACTCGACCCGATCCGATCAATAGTACTGAAATACTTCCATATTTAAACCTATTCATGGCCTATTTTCTAAAAATAATTAACACACGTAACAACTCAGTTCATCATATATGGGTTAAGAATTGAGTTTATGACCCATTTTGACAGATCTAATATCCGCCGGGTCTATTTAATGAGAAATGTCTCGATCGTCAATGATACGCGGAGCAAGACATAATAAACAGAACTGCGACACCTCACGTCCCACGCCGGATCATATATATATATCGATCTCGTCGAGTGCTATATAACCTAACGTTCCCTTCTAATATGATCAGAACTCTCATGTGCTTATTCAGAGCACTCAAGAAGATCCAATCCAGCCCCATCCCAAAGCCCACGGTCTCCATCCATCGGCCGCGCGTGCGTCGCACCGTCCCCGGAGCATCGTTGGGAGGGGGGGAGTGGGAAGGTGGGCGGGGGGCGGCGATGATCCTGATGAGATCCTGGGACCCACCAGTGAGTCAGCCGAGTCAGCGACTCGGCCCCGAGTGCCAATAATAATGAAAAAAGAGAAAAGAAAAAAGAAAAAAGAAAGAAGGAAAACCTGGAAGAGACAAAAAAGAGACCAAAAAGGCGGGCGGTGTGTCCCGAACGTGGCCCGCCAAAACCGCACGAATTTAATGCAAATCTTGTCAGGACCTTGACCCTTTCGTCCTCCTGCCCCCCTCCACCCCCAGGCCGTACCCCCATCCCCCTCCCATCCAACGGTCACATTTCGCCCCCCGTTTTGAAGTCGAACTGGACCCCCCCACCACCTCCACCTCACACACACACAGAGAAACAAGGAAAAAAAAAAGATCTTTTGCAATATCAGGTCAAACTAGTTTCTCTCTCTCTCTCTCTCTCGTTAATAATTTTGCTTGTGAAGGAATGTCGATCTAGTTATTAGATCTGAATCATCTCCCATTCCCCCCCCCCCCCCCCCTAATTGATCAGAATTAATTGCTTTGAATAAAAAAGGTGGGACGCACTTTTAACCCTTCCAGACTACTTTTGGTAAATAAGAGGAGGCCGAGCATTAAAAGAAAGGATATAATTGGGATAATATAATCTTTATATGGGTGTGGGATAAGGGCCCTGTGGCCAAATGCGGAGCGCTAGTCGTTAGCCCCTTCATGGCTAGGTCTGGAGCTACAGTCGGTTCTCTCCTTGTGTCTCACACATATTCGTCGCATGATTAGAGGCGCGCCTTTGTCAGCCGGGCCTCAAACCTCGACGTCGACTGCGAGACTAGTATTTGTGACCGGACCGGTGGTTGCCGGAGATTTTACACGATGTTGATGCTCGGGCAGCTTGGACGTACACGAGGGCTTGGAGATTTGAACAATTAACATTCAATCAAGCATGAGTGGGGAGAAGGAGGGGGGGGGGGGGGGGGCGGGGGGGGGAGTCGAGTGGGATTCATCGACAGCAAGAGCCATTATGTTGACATTCAATTCATCTGAGGTCGATCGTTCAAGTCCCACAGTATATCATGTCCTAAATTTGCTATCAGAACTTAAAGAAATTATTTCGATATATCCAATATCCATTCGACACGTGGCATTATTAACAATCATTTTGTTCGATTATGACTTTAATTTTTTTTTTATCGTCATTACAGATATCCTAACATGAATCTAACATCATAAGTTTTTTTTTTTTTGTTCATCAAGCTGGTCGACCGGCATTGTTAGTTCTGCTACAAATTGCCTTCGCCTTGATGCTCCTCTCTTTTGTATCGTTGCTCTTCGATCCCGGCGACTCCCGAGAGCAACGGTGGGGGCAGCTCAAATCCTAATGAGATCTAAATGGATTTCAACAGCATTTGAACTTATTGTTAAAGCCGATCCCAAGATTATGATACGTATAACATAACTTAAGATCTCAAGCACCCTGAAAAAGCTCTTGAAGCAATCATTGAGCTATAAAAAAAACTAGACTCGCAAGTACTCGAGGCAAGGGACGGGAGTCGCCTCCTATTATTTTCCCCTTTCACTTTTCGTCCGAAGAAATTGCTCGTGTAAGTTCGAACTATTCCTTTTTTTTTTTTTTTACTAATTCAATATATAATAAGATAAGAAAAGCAGCAAACGCCAAAGGCGATCTGCACCATCTCCCCGTCCGTTCCTCTCTCTCTCTCTCTCTCATTCACGCTCACACGCACACTCTACTCTCTCACCACCGTCACCGAGGCAGTGCGGCTTCCTCCATCGGCGCCCGCGCCCGCCGATCTCCGGCGCCGGCGACGGCCGCACGGCGCGCGTGCGCCTGAGCAGAATGCTGAATCCGAACTTCGCGTCCTCCTTCGCCGCCGCCGCCGCCGCCTCCTCTCTGATCTCTTCCTCCGCGCGCCGTTGCTCGCTCGTTCGCTGAGGGAGCGTGAGCTCAGCTCGCCGTCGACGAAGTTTTTTTCCCGAAGAGGAACTCGCATCATCTACCTTTCGGGTTCCGAGAGCGTTGGTTTGGGCAGGGATTTCTCGTGCAGATGCTGGTCTTGGCTTGAGTTTCGGGCTTCTGGAGTGTTGACGTGTCGGTGTCGAGATTCGTTTTAGAGGTTCTCGCCGGGTTTGAGCTCTTGAGGAGGAGAGAGGAAAAATGTTCGGAATCTCGCGCCGAAGGATGAAGCTCGGGAGGTAATGCGCGTCCGGGCGTTGCTTTCCGGTTTCTCGTGCTTTGGTGGTCGCTGTTTCGATTTTGTTTTGGCAGTTGAATGCTGTTGCTTGCTCTAGAAAATTCCTCGGTAGTTCGCTGTGAGAAGGTTTGAGTTATTTTGCGGATGTGGGTCGGCGTGATTAGCTTCATTTGTTTGTGATTACGTTGGGAAGTAGCTTGGAGTAGACTGTAGAAGGTCTGAGCTATAATGCTGATCTGGTTCCGCATAGTTATCTTCATGTGCGTGTGGTAAAAACTTTGGAAGGGAGACTATGTACTGTTAGGTTGCCGGAGAACATATGTGTGGGGTGTAGACTAGAAGAAACTCGAAGTAGAAATTAGTTGTTGCGTGTGTCGGTTATGCTCGTAATGTTGTGACCGTGTCGTTACAGGGTCAAGAAGGTGCAGCTTTCGGACTCGACTCAGGGTACCATAAGTCCTATGAGGCAAATAAAACGCGCAAGCAATCAAAATGTGAGGATGCCAGCTTGATTTTAGATACGAACTCGTAGGGAAGACTGCAAGAAACTGAGCTTATTTGCCCATTTACAGAATGAAGGTGCTGTGCCTGCTGGTGATCGTCCCAATGAAAATGATTCGCGGAGTCCTTCCTCTACCCCCGAGATTAGTAGCTGTACATCTGGAAGCTCTGAGAATTGGATGGTTTTATCAGTAGCTGGGGAGAAGCCAATGCCTCGCTTCAATGTAAGATCTAACGGAATTTTAACCTTAGCTTTA